GTCACACCGAGTAACCTGTGACAAAGAGGTCACTATCTGTTTTTTTGAAGACCATCTACCCACATTTATCTCAGAATTATATATATTCAATAGAATCTGCTCCTTCAATAATCGCCTGTTCCCCCCCCCCCCCACTCGTGGGATTTCAGGTCCAACCAGCTCACCATCTCTTGCTTTTTTTCCATGCTTACAGTCAATATATTGTCCGCTTGTTCTTTCCCTCGGTTGCACCATCTGGCCAGGTCGTTCTGTCTGACAGCCAGTTGAACGTACCTGCGGCTTTTTTGTCTGTGCCGCAGAAATAAGATTGATCACAGAGTCCAACTTTAAACGCACCTCTGAAAATTGGTCAAAAATGGCCAAGACTGTCTGAGAAGTGAGCATACTGTGTCGGCTAATGAAATCCCTTGTACTAACATTTAGCTGGTTTTCAAGTCCTAAAGCTAATTCACTATGGTTGTAAAACTCCGACTCTAAGCCCTTGTCCCGGCCTGGAGCCGATTCACCCAAAGTTGCTGAGTCATTTGTCGTCAAATTACGCAGAGGGGTTCGCAAGCTTCCCAGCTGACTTCCTGATTGATTCTCCTCTGCCTGCAATTCCCACTCCAGGGGGGAATCCCCAAACAATGCCAAAACATCACGGCTAACCGGCAGGGAAAGGGGGGAGGATGCACGACCCACTGTTGAGTGCAAAGGCTGGCAAAATCCGTCAATCTTCTGTTGCTTTTGAGGATTGGTTCCAACTTCCTTACTGTTTGGTGAGCAATATGCCATCTTTCTTTTCTTCCCCTTGGGAGAGGCCATCCGGACTCCAGTCAAACACGGCTGCAAAGGTTCTTCCCGGGAGCGTCTGCAGCCAGCCAGTTCCTTACTGTACTCGTTCCAAAAACAAACAGCTCAAAATCCCCTCCGAGGTTAGGGGCCTCCACTGAGGTTTGTCAACAAGTCCGGTAATCCGAATTTCAGGCCTTGCAAGGAGAAGTCGCAGGAGTAGCCTAAGCCAGGAATGCAGGTTGTAGTATTGTTAAAATATGTCTAAAACAAACAGTAGCCACACTATATGTGCTTTGTAAAAGTCCAGTATAAATTAAAAATAGATTAAAAATGAATTAAAAATATAAAAATACTTTAAAAACATTAAAAAAGAAAAACCTAATTTGCTTTTGGGAGAGCTCCTTACAGCCGTTGCTCACCTCACCCGGGCTCACCCCATTCTAGTCAGAACTGAAGAAGCTTCTTGGATGACAAGCAAAACATCTTCAAAGAAAAACCAGAAAGCCCAGTTGCCTCTTGAAAGAGCACTTTTGGGACCGATAAGCTCATTCATTTTTGGCTATGAATTCCTTACACTTTCCCTGACTTTTAGTCTTCAAAGAACTGAGATTCCTATCTCCCAAGACAAGAAAACATTGTCCACCCAGAATTGGGTATTGCCATGCAACAATATGAGCACTATGCTAGCAGCATCCCAAGCTTGGCTATGTCGTCCAGAGTCTCTTACAGGCATCCATAGACTCTCACTTGTGAAGCACTATCACTTCCTTAACATCACATCCAGTGGTGGGATTCAATTTTTTAACAACAGGTTCTGTGGGCGTGGCTTAGTTGGGGGTGTGGCTTGGCAATTATGTGACTGGGTAGGCGTGGCTAGCTGGTCACGTGACTGTGTAGGCGTGGCTAGCTCGTCATGTGACCGGGTGGGCGTGGCTCTGTGCATAGGGACTACTCAGAGGGCTGAAAAAAGTCATTTCTGACTGGGCTTCGCACTTTTGACCGGTCCTCACACTTATGACCATCCTCACATTTATGCCCGTGCAGCTTTCTTAACAACCATGTCACTCATTTCACAACTGCTTCTCTTCACCATGGTGACAAGATAGGACAAAAACATAAAATGTGAGGATAGTCGTAAGTTCGAGGACTGGTCAAAAGTGCGAGGACCAGTCAAAAATAACTTTTTCAGCCCTCTGAGTAGTCCATATGCACAAAAGGACTACCCAGAGGGCTGAAAAAAGTGATTTCTGACAGGTCCTCACACTTTTGACCGGTCTTCGCACTTATGACTGGTCATCATTTATGCCCATTGTAGCATTCTTAACAACCATGTCACTCATTTCACAACTGCTTCTCTTCACCATGGTGACAAGATAGGGCAAAAACGTAAAATGTGAGGACAGTCGTAAGTTCGAGGACTGGTCAAAAGTGCGAGGACCAGTCAGAAATAACTTTTTCAGCCTTCTGAGTAGTCCATATGCATAAAAGGATACAGCAATAGAGAGGGATGAAGGAAGGGAAGGGAAATTAGAGTAGGAGGGAGGGTAAGAGAGGGAGGAAGAGAGGAGGAGAAGGAGAAAGGAAGAAGTAGTAGGGAGGAGAAGAAGAGGGAGGAAGAGAAAGTAAGAAGGAAAGAAAAGAGAGAGGTGGTAGGTTTGAGGAGAAAGATGAAAGGGAAGAAAGCCAACCCCAAACAAATATAAAGATATTAAGATAAAGAATGAATTGTTAAACTTTAAAGAATAAAAGAGAACAAATATGAATAAATAGCAATAATTAGAAACACACATACAAACATACAATGTATTTTCTTTGAACAGAGTATTTGGCCGGTTCACAAATTTAAACAGTGTTTAGTCATTTCAATTAAATTTACAATTTCTATATTTCCTTTTTGCCATATTTATTCCTCATCTATTTTTGTAAAAAAACAATATTACCCTTCATCCTCATCTCTAATCTTAATCAAATTCAATTTTTCCCTTCTATTCTATATTATACCCCTTCCCATTGTCATCTATTTTTATATCCATCCTCACATTGGTTAATTATGTAATATTAGTTGTTTAATATAAATATAAATAACATAAATTCAACATTTTAATATAAATCAATTAGTTATATAACTACCTTTTTTGTATATTAATCAATATGAACATAAATATTCCAATTATTTCCATGCAATCCAATTTCTTACAAATCAATTAATTATATTTACCAATAATAATAAACCAAATAATTTCCCCCATATATTCCTCCAAACCACAACTTAACCATTTCTTCTTTCAGAAATATACAATTAATAGTATCTCAATTACTACAATTCCCTAGTTAAATAGAGCTTTTTTTCTTTTGTGTTTTAAAATCCTGAACTCTCCTCTTTTTCCCTAAATTTCCCATTGTTTGCACCTACCTTTTTTGGTGAGGAAAAAGAAAAGAATTCTGCCTGCCTAATTTTCCAACCTTGCAGCAACAGCAAAGCAGTTTCAGTTTCGTGTTTCAGCAGAGCTAAGGGGAAAAAAAATCTGCTCCAGGACGCTTTGCAAGGAAGTAGCAGATCCCTGAGCAAAACAGCTGAGACAAATCAGCTGAGAGCCGGGAGGCCGATAGAATCAAGGGGCTAATTAGCCTATGCTGAAGCTCCATGGGCCAATAAAATTACAAAAAAACACTGAACCATTTGTTAAATTGCTGGCTCGCCCGCCCCTCGCCCACCACTATTTATTGGCAATGAATAGTGGTGCGGAGGGGCGGGGCGAGCCAGCAATTTAACAAATGGTTCGGCTGCACCACTAGCTATAGGGCGGCCCTTTGAAGCCCCGTGGCAAGAATTTGAAGTTTTTTTTCCTCTAGCCATCAGCTGGGACTCCGGAGGCAGCAATAGATTGGGAGTGGGCAGGGTAAGCAAATGGCCGGTGATCCAACAGAGCAGAGAGTGAGGGTGAGTGAAGGCGTGGAAGCTGCTTCCTCCATCCTGCTCTCTTGCGTCCGGAGCCGGTGGGGAACCACATGGCAGCCCACGTGGATCCCAGGCAGCGGAACTCAGGCTAGGGAAGGGGTGGGCAATTGTGGCTCTTTTACAACCTGTGGCCTTCAACTCCCAGAATTCCTGAGACAGCCAAGCTGTCTCAGGAATTCTGGAAGTTGAAGTCCACAGGTTGTAAAAGAGACACAATTGCCTACCCCTGGCTAGGGTAGGCTGGCACCGCGCGGGTGGGAGGCGGGCGAGCCAGCAATTTAACAAACGGTTCGGTGTGCTGCCGGGCCAATAAATTACAAAAAAACACCGAACCGTTTGTTAAATTGCTGGCTCACTCGCCCCATTTATTGGGAATAAATAGTAGTGCGAGGGGCGGGGCAAGGGGCGGGGCGAGCCAGCAATTTAACAAAGGGTTTGGCCGAACCCCCTAGAACCCCCAGAATCCCACCACTGATCACATCCCTTCCATTTCCTGAGATCATTAGGGAGGATCTGAAGCATAAATAGGTATATTTCAAGAGGTGGAACATGACTGTTTAATCCAGCTGCATTTCAATAATATATGTAAAGTCTGCTCACTTCTCTATGACTAAATAATGGACAAATATGGTTTCATTGCCTATGGGTCTAGTGCAGGGGTCAGCAACCTGCGGTTCTGGAGCCGCATGTGGCTCTTTCATCCCTCTGCTGCGGCTCTTTGTCGCCAATTGACGCCACAATTGATAGGGCTAGGATAGGTAGACGAAAAAAGACACCGCGCTAGGAGGAGACTCTATGGTGGGGGAACCGGACTTCCGGTCAGCAGAGGAAAAAGGATGCCATGCTAGAAGGAGACTCTATGGTGGGGGAATTGAATAGGGGGCTTTCAGTTATGACCTTTGTGGGTCTTTGAGTGTTTAACACCTGGCCTAGTGTTTATCAATAGTCTAAAGCTGTGGTCTTTACCAATCTATCTCCTAGTCCCAGGAATAAGAACCAGAAGAGATTCCATCACATCCCTTATAGCTCCAATTCTACTCTTCTCAATCACTCTTCATGTTCAGTTTGCCAGGACACTATCTGATCAAGTCACTTTCACTGTCCTATATGCAGTCTTTGTTTATTAACTCCATCTGCTTAACTAACACCCCAGTCCATTACTGCACACATGTATTTTGTTCCTGTAATCTGCATTTCTGTAAGCAGAAAGTTGTATATATTTAATATAATATTAATCATGTAATCATAATATAACACTAAACAGAAATATTTTTGACTGAGTTTTATTTACAAATCACAGTGATTTTCATTGTGCAATGAGAACTGATTTATGTATTTGTACAGTACTTATACACTTGAGACAGAATTTGCAGGAAATATCTGATATCAGTAAATCGTGAATATTTTATATTATCAGTTTGGTTTTGTACATAGATGAAACTAATTCATTTACTGTACAACACTATTTATAAAGCAGATGTTTGCCATAGAAAAGTGCAAAACATAGTAAATCTGTACATAGTACAGTACGATGGAATTATGCTACATTTCTTGAAAGCTGAAAAATTCTGTAGTAAAAGACTTAATGGATCTTAATTCTTCCATATACCAAAATGATTGGTTTGCTATATTCATGCAGTTTTCAAGATCCAGTCCTTTAGCTAAACTTGGTTTAGTTCCTAATTTTGATAGATTAACATTACTTTTATACATAATAACCTTGCTTTAACTCAATCTCATGAACATTAAATAAAGGTACATATAGCCTATGAATAGTTATGATATATCCAGATAGGATTTTCTAAACAATGTATACATTTTAATGGTTAGTTGTTTTGGCTTTGCTCACCAACCTATTATGTTTTTCTAATATGATAAAACTTCTGTTTCAAGTATAAATAGCCATAAAGAATTTTAATTCTAATAAAATAAATCTTTCTAGGGTGATTTAAAAGGAGCGAACATTCATTCTGTTTTCATAAGCAGAATGTTTACTATCCAATTATTATAAGGCTTTTGTTGTCTCCAGCGGAGCAGTGGTCTCATATGCAGATTATAAAATGCAGCCCTGATGTAAATTCAAATTAGTTTCATAATGAGTGGAAATATTGCTCATAGCAGCTGTCCATTTACAGCTAATTGCTGTGTATTTAATGATAATTGCCTTGATCTATTACACTCTTTAAAAGTTCTAGACAGCTTCAGTGTTACCTAAGACACTGCCTTTCCCATTTTGATTTAAGATCTGCAGGAAAAGCCCTTTTGAGATACCATCATTCACAGAGGCTTATTTGTTAGCTTTATAATCAATGAAATGCTTGCACTTCAGAACTAAAAAACAAGATTTGAAAAGGAATTTTAGATACCCACCAATTTGTGATTTGGCCTTTAGCAGTTTTTATATTTTAATTCTTCAATATGGTTATTTTTTAGATGCACATTTCTCCTATTGGCATGATTATAATTATTGTTCACTACTTAGGTAATGTTTGATGGTACAGAAATATCATTTCCTATTCTGAAGAAAAGCACTGAGGGACCCCTTGCATATTAATTCTACTCCTTTTGGGAATGCAAGTGAAGCAAGCAATACATGCATACTGTAAGCACCCTGGAAAAGTCCTTGAACAGGGGTGTCAAACTCAAGGCCCAGGGGTCTGATCTGGCCTGTGGGGTGCTTAGATCTGGCCCCTGGGGCCACCCTGGAAACATTGAAGAAATGGCCCATGGTGACTCTTCCAGCAAAAAGGAGCTTGAGAGGGCCGCGGGCAGGCCTCCCAAGCTCTATTTTTGCTGGAAGAGTTGCAGGACGCCGTCACAGGCAAATTGAGAGCTCTGGAGCCCATTTTCACTGGCAGAGTGCTCAGGCCACCACAGGCACCGACACAAGTTACATTGAGCTGGTCATGCCCACCCTGGCCATGCCCACCCCATTCCCTAAGGTTAAACACAACCCTTATGCAGCCCTCAATGTAATTGTTCTGACCTAGGCTCCCTTAAACAGCAGGATGCAGCATCTTTGGCAAAAGCTTCTATTTACACGACTGTGAATTACTTTCATTCAGAGTCAGCAAGGCTTGTCCAAACAGTTTTTCAAAAGAATAGTTATTGCACACCTTATCTCGCTTGGCCAGCTGCCATGTAACTTATTTCTAAACGAGGCAAAAGGCAAAACTTGGCACAGAGTCTCTCAGAGACACGGAATGAACAAATTGTTTCCTGCAAAAGTCCACTCCCTGTTCACTCCTCTTCTGTTTCCTATGGGAGGGCCAATCACCTCCAAGGTGTGGCTTTACTCCCAAGCAATTTCCTGCTTTCTGAGTTGTTCTTGTCTTCTGGCAGCTCTGCGCATGCGCACATGGGGAACAAGCTCCAGCTGTTCCTCTGCCTCGCTGCTGTCTAGCTCCCTCTCTGCCTCCGATGCAGAGCCCTCGTCCAAGCTTTCCCCAGCCCCAGAACAGGCCCAAGTTTTTCCCTAACTGACTCACTGTCCAACTCTGCTGCCAGCTCTGCTGGCCGCTGCAGGGCCACAATAGAAATTGAGTTTGACACCCCTGTCCTTGAATTACCCATGAGGAATGTTTTGGGAAAAACAGCTTCTTTGATGGTTTGAGGATGTACTCTTTGAATATTGTGCACCGTTATATTGATGATACTGATTGTAAACACTATTTGGCATTTTTTTAAAAAAGGACAATTGAATTCATAACATAAAAATTTCATGAAGACCAAATTATCCAGAAAAAAAATGGCTTTATGTATCAATTATGTTGCTTATTGGCTCACCCACTTCAGCTTACTCAGTAAGACACACAAATGAAATATATTAGGAATCAGCAACATAACCAGCCACTAGAATAAATTAATTTGCTAATGGGAAAACGACAGGAAGTTGTGTAAACGAAAGCACCAATGTACAAGACCATTAGGATACTATAGATAGTCCATGTTTAGCAACCACAATAGGGACCAGTAACTCGGTCGTTAACCAAAGCAGTTGCTAAGTGAAATCTCAACTATGTTTATCTTACTTCAGTTTTCCTTTGCTTTATAGACTGCAAATATCATAAATATGAAGATTAATTGTAAAGATACTGTTTAATCACCGCCATAACTGGGAATAGTAGATAAACAAGGCTGTCGCTAAATGAGAACTACCTGTATAATCATTCCTTACTCCTCATATTTTTCACAGTGCACTTTAAGAACATAGTGTCCACAAAAAGTGGCAGCTAAGGTTTTTGGAGTGTTTTGACTACAACCAATGTGTTATCAAGCAAGGAAAGAAGAGTGATTAGTGTAATAATGATATTAAACAACTTCTAAACATACACAGGTAGATCATATGGAAGCTGGGTAAGCTCAAGCTCTAATAGTGGCATTAGCTTTGAACCATGCAAATCAACAATCCTTAGTTTAATATTAGTATCTCATAAATATATACTCTTACTCTGGACTTTATAATCTTATATTTGGTTTTTTTTCCCTTAGCAGGACAAATGGCATGAGTTATTCTCACTTATAGAGGTTTAAAAGGTAGAACATCCCATTTCAGAAGGGTTCACAGATGTTCATGCCCTAAAAATTAATGTGATCATACAGAGGTTAGAAGATTTTTGATGCAAAAGTCTTCTTTGAATTCTTGAGACAAATTTTTAGAACACTTCCTCATAAATGAGCAAATACCGGTAGTTAAACTTCCAAATAAAACACTGGGCTCCCACCATCCCACCTATTTTTATATTCTAAGAATGCCTACAGATGTAAAGTACCAAAAGGTCCCATATCTTGGATATAAATATTATTTTGGAATTCAGACTTTGCTTTAAAACATAACAGTTTCCTCTCTATGTAATATAAATTTAGATTTTCCCCTCCTTTATTTTAACTCACACCTTTAATTTATTTTGCTTGCCACTTCTCACTCATTTTCTGCAGTTTTGGATAAAGTTGCTTAAACCAAAAAGGAATTGTGTGATGGGTCTGTATATAGGCATTTAATTAAATTAATTTTAAAATGTTAAATGTTGGTAGGATGCTTGGCAGATGCCAATATAGATAGATATCTGAGGCAAACGAATGGTAAAGGACACTAAATTGATTGCTGAGTTAATCCTACTTATATAAAGAACATATCAAAGGTAATGCCAGATAACACTGTACATTCAATTGTGGCTCTTAAATTGTTTTATCTACTATAGTTTGCAATATTCAATAATGGACATGCAAGTATACATCTGTGTTTAGATAGGGATCTTGGTTTTGATGACATTTAGGTACCTGAAAGGGTAATAGAACCCTAATCCCATTAAAACAATACTTATTTCACTACAATATGTAACCATGAAGAATTAAGATATATAGCCATAGCATTTTAACATAATTTTAAAAGAAAATATAATGCACACTGAAAGGAGGAATAGTACAATAAGTTGTGCAAGGTTTTTATTTTTCAGCTTTCAAGATGTATGGCTGGAGATGTAAAGCACTGGAAATTTTACCATTTTCTCGAAACCTATATGTATATTTCTTTTTACAAAGAATTATAAAATGTATAGAAGATGCTGAAGCATGTATCATTTCAAGATTTGTTTTACTTCTAGGCAGCATCTTGGAAAACATTTAAGAATAAAAACCATAGACTCTGTAAAATACAAAAATTTACATTTTTGCACAGTTTCTGTGCTTTAGATTTACTGATTTGTTCATATAAATATACACTAACTTGTGCTTTACAGGACAATTTTAGTATCAACTTATACAACTAGGGTATGAAATAAGTATGCAAATTAAATTTGGGGACAACAAAACTAAATTCAAATTTAGAAACCCTATAACCCTGTATCTACATATCAGAGTAGGTGCTTCAGTATCTTTTTAACTGAATGAATGCCAATTCTATACTACTGAATAGTATCAATTTTTTCAACAACATGTCTTTTTTTTTAAAAAAAATCTATGCATAATGCAGTAATATTCATTTTCAAGATATTTTTGGAAGTATTTTCTGTTCTTCTTTTCCAGTTTTCACCTATCACACCAATCTTCTTTCTATTTCTAGCAAACAGATAAGAATAAATATTCAATGTACTGGCATTCCATTGTCGTAAATATTTAACTTTTTTCATTGAAGTTCAGAAAATAAGATTTTAGGTCCTTAATTACCATGTGCAAAGTGTTACACGTATTTCTATACAATAAAAAAAGCAAAATAAAAGCCATCTAATAGTTGCAATTGTGTCTATAGAAGAAATCTATCTAGTCTTCACAGTAGCCAAAATAATTACAGAACATTGTATTAATATTATATTTTTATTAAAAGGCAGTCATGGAGTCTTAAGGCATTTTTTTCTATTTTTAATTTAAAAATATCAATGTGTGATTTTATAAATTAACTACATGCAACAACGTAAAGATTTTAACATTAAGACTGTAAAGACACTGGTTTATAAATATGGTGCTTTTGGAAGACTAGTATCTAATACCTTAATAATTTGATGTATCACACATTTAGAAGTTTTTGAAAATTTCTAAATCTTTAGGAGGTACTGGTGGTATTTTGTTCCAGTCATCTTCAGGGTAAGCTTCAAAATTAGATGTATCGCCATCATTTGATACTTTCGGCACTATAGGAGGCTGAATGAAACAATAACATAAGTTTTGAGTAAATGAATATAACCTTATGTGAAGCTTATGTAAATCTTAAAATTTATATTTTATCCTACTTTTTGAGATTCTATGGCACAGCAGCTGTCAATAGCATCTGGCATGAGTTTAAGATATCTAAGAATAATATTATTTCTCTGTGGAGTTATAGAACTGTAGATCTTGATCCCTTCCAGTCAAATTTCATACCCAAGTGTGAGATGGAACTGCTTGTTTTTATGGATGACTTCTATTGGTACCTGAAGGAAGTTTAGACCTCTTGATCCTATTAGAAGTCTACATATTACCATACCATCAAGAATTGTATTTAACTGCATCACTTGTTAAAATTGGAAGAAGGAAACATTGTTCTGCAGTAGTTTCATTACTTCTTGATTGGACAGTTCCAGGTGGTGATCATAAGGAGAAGAGTGATTAAATTTGGCCATACATTTATGGCCAGCCCTCTTTCCCCATATTGTTCGGCTTCTACAGAAAACTGCTGGGAGGAATCAGCCTTCTTCATGAGTTAATAGCAATAGCACTTAGACTTATACACCTCTTTATAGCCCTCTCTAAGCAGTATACAGAGTGCTGACAGAGTGCATATTGCCCCCAACAATCTGGGTCCTCATTTTACCCATGTCAGAAGGATGAAAGGCTGAGTCAACCTTCAGCCTGGTGAGATTTGAACTGCCAATTTGCAGGCAGCTGGCAGTCAGCAGAAGTTCCCTGCAGTACTGCACTCTAACTATTGCCCCACTGTGGCTCAAGTTAAGTTACCATTAGAGTGCTAATGACCTTGTTATACTTTTGAAGCTTGTGCAAAGCAGGAAATACAATCCAACAGAGGTCATGCAATCCATTTTAGTCTTTAGGAAAGAGAAAAAAAACCCTGACCTTTTCCACTATCTCTGTGGAATCTAATGCTGCAATGATAATTTTATTTATTGCCTTTCTTATTTTGTTAACTTTATTAGGTTCATTAGTTCCCTTCTGGCTTTTAACATGATTGTTATTTTGATTTTGGATTTTATTGTAAGCCACCTAGCTTCCATTGAGTTAGGCTGGATATATATATATATATATATAATATATATATATATATATATATAATATATATATATATATATATATATAATAAATACACAAAATAATATTCTAACTGATGTGTTATCTCAAGAAGATTAGGTCTCAAAATTATGGATTTAATATAAAAGCTTGGACTTGCTGGCCATCATTAGGCACAATAATTATTTGACTTCAACTGCATGTTGTCATTAATCATGAAATAGTTAAGTAGTGATGTGCCACACAGTGATTGCATTCTTATCCTGGCTTCTTCCATCTATATGTAATTTGGTAATTAAACATATCATCTATATGCAATATGCACATGTTATTTCCACCTGTAGAAAATTACAGGATGAAACTATGATTCATGGTATTCTAATTCCAAGTGTAGCAATACTCTAAAAATAATCTCCCTCCTGCATTTGGATAAATTATTCCACCATGAATGGGTAGATTGGAAGCTGTGCCTTCTGGCTATTCAAAAGAAAAACCTGAAGTGCAAATGTACATGGGACATCAGAATGGCCCCTATGTAAACATTTTATCTTCAAGCATGAGATAGGAATAGGCCACATTAGGTCTTTCACATAGATTTTTAAATACAAACTCCTCCATGATAATTAAATGCAGTAAATATTTCTTGAATGTATATCTTCCCAAGCAGAATCTGTTTTCATGGTACTTTACCTTTAATTTCCTCTGTGGTACAGCATCCCAGTCTATAGACCTGAACCATCGGTGTCTCTTTACATCATCAGCTCCATTCTTTGGAAAAACAAAAGTTTATTTAATATAAGTTCCTAAAAATATTGTGGCATAAATTCGATATACTGAAATGGACACTGATTTCTATCATATGTAGTCTGAAAACATACGTCTAATGCACACTGTTCTAGTTGACCAATTTTTCTGGTACTGAAAAAAAATACTGGATTTCCAGGAACTTCTATAGACAGTATACTGTCTGTAGACAGTATAAATATCAACATTATCAAGATGGAAAATAGAATGTTGTGATGCCAAGTACCCCACCTGCTTTGTATACACATGAACACTGCAAGCATAGTCAAAAGGAACAAGGCTTGCTTCACAATGCTGTGTCTACTATCTTGCCAATTTTTATCCTTTTTTAGCAGATATTATGGATCTCAAATAAAACAGCCCCTTTGACACTGACCACATTCCAATTTTAGGTGTCACTGTTAGGGCTAAAGTGCTATCTTACACATAGAGAATATAGTTCTTTCTCCATCTATCTGTCCCAATTCTGTGTTTAGAAATTGTTTCTATGTCAGATTTCACAATGAATGTCCTATTTCACATAAATCACATTAGGTGACTTTATCTACTTGAGTTTTTCTTGGGTCCAGAACCAAATGTACTGGATGAAAAAAAAATACAGTGAGACATAACTCTGTCCTTAAGATTTACAGGTTTACATGTTACCGAATCTCTTTAGATAAAGAAAAATGAAGTAATGTGACTTTAGTATTGCTTATACAAAGGGGATTTGCAAGCTTCAGTGCTCAGTAAGCTCAGTAGATTCCACCAAGCTATTACTATACTGCAATGAAGCATGCCTCAAGTATGTCAATTAAGTTTGCAATTATTTTGTGACATGTTTTATCAGTATTAATTGTATCTAAATATAAGAATCAAGGATTAAGGCAAAGGGCTTACATGCCTGAAATCCACAGTATTAATAATATTGAAATTTAGTTCTTCTGATTGGCTATGTAGTATACATTAAAAAATTACTTGAAGAAAAGGGGCTGACTAGAAATTCCATTCCAAGGTCACCAGATGCAGATCACTACATACCTTTGTACCATGAAAATTTGAAAACTTATTTCAATTTTATATTTAAAGTGAAAACATCACATTGTTAGATGCTTGTCAAATACAAAACAGTAATTCATTGGTTCAGAGATTTGTAGTTTTACTATAATGAAAACATGATCCTCCTCCCACACCGTGCCTTAATTTGAAATTTGTTGAGTATAGAAATGTTTCCTTAATGAACTGAGGTAGTGGAAGATTTTTCATTAAAGCATACCTTCATGTTTCCTAGTCGTCTTGTTCTGTCAACCACAAGAAGCTTTTTAATAAGATCCCTGGACAAATAAGGAAAGATGAGATTTTTTTTTTAAAAAAATAAAATTTGTATGGTTATCTTTTCACTGAAGAAATTATACCTATAGAATGTTTCCAATACTGAACTGACCAGCAATAACTTTGAGAAGGCAGGAGGAAATAAATCCACCTATCTCTGGCAGAAACTTAAATTGCGTAAACCATGTGTGAAGGATAATATGTCTTATAAACTATAAGGCCTGATTAAATGGATCTTTAAAGCTCCACAGACTATCTGTAGATGTGTTAATATATAATCTTTTTCCAGAGAGGACTTTCATTTTGTTAAATCTTTGCTTATAAAGTTAAGCAAAAATATAAAAAGTTTGATTTTGCTTCCAGGATTCCTTAAAAAAAAAAAAAAAAAAGTCAGATCATATCCATTCTACCTTCAAATTTTCAGGAACTTTTCTTTTCCAAGTTCTGGATATTAACTGGAACTGCATAAAATTCCCCAGAGGCTTTTTATAGTTCCAAACAACTGCAAAGTTCTTAAGCAATTAAGCTAGTTGCTTACCATGTCTTTCACAGTTTAGGAAAACAAGTATAATCTTGAGAAAGCTTCTTAAATGAACAAATTCACAGTATGGTAGGGGCCCTTCAGTAAGGCAACCTTTACGCCTTTTTTATACATGCAAAGTTGTTCATCTAGAAGCCTCTGGAAGCAGTACAAATAATTCTGCCTAAGAATTTTATTCCTACTGAGAAATTTTCCCACAATTGATAAAAAATAAGTCTTGGAATTCCATGCCTTTTAAATTTGTACCTTGAACAACCTGTACCAAAGTGTCTTAAAATACACAAAAATGTATTCCTGTTTAACAAGCTTCACCTACTATTCCAGAACTTGGATGACATGATCAGACATCCCCACTTTCTTTTGCAATTCATTAGTTGTTATGTAAAATCCCTCGTCATTAACCAGGTAAATTCTAATATGAAAATAAGGCCTAATGAAAATCTGATTCTTCAATTAAAATGGAATATATACAAGCTATCACTCTGAACTTGTTCCTCTGAATATTAACACCAATGCCTGAAATATGTACGCTTTTGTCTGTCTTAGTTTCCAAGATTTAATTCAAGTTACTTTGTATCTGTATGCAATGGCTTCTTCACACATTGCTATGGGAATATTGCATAAACAAATTGCCTGCGCTGATTCTCATTGTGAGACATCACTAGCAGCGTACCACCTTCTTTTAGAGTAGATGGCTGTGACATAATACCAGGTGAAACTATGAACTGATATTGAGCTCCATTTGAAAGTGACAAGGATTACACATAAATTTTCTGACTTTAGATCAGGGGTGGGTAACTATGGGCCTTTTACAACCTGTGGACTTCAACTCCCAGAATTCCTGAGCCAGCATGGTTGGCTCAGGAATTCTGGGAGTTGAAATCCACCCATTGTAAAGGGTCAATAGTTGCCCACCCCTGCTTTAGATGGTGGACTTCAACCTATTGTCAACTTTGAAGTGAACCTAACTGGAGCCATTTTGGAGGCTTCAGGGTTGCCACAGTGTGAAGAAAGGATGGGGGGGGGAACATAGTTAGATGGGTGTTTGTAGTCAAAACAAAATAGTTTCCTGTGGGAACCAAGGACATTCCAACAGGTGGCTGGGGAGAGGAGGAGTCCGGTTACCATGCAACCAGCCAGCATCTTGATTGGACAATGTGACTGATTGTTTGTGGAAAGGGGGAACTTTCACTGTTTAATCAGGTGAAAACCGCAGGAACTTTCAGGTCAGTTTTCATCAGCTTGTGCCAATATGATATCTCTAATAAAATTGTTCTTTGAGGAACTTGCCTGCCTCAGAGTTCTGCTTTCTATGGAATTATTACTTGGAACCCTGACACCTATGTTTTCCATGAAACTTTAAATTCTCCCAGATATATTTTCCCAATTTGCTGTTTTCTACATATGTTGGGCCTAGATTTTTCTAAATTCAATCAACAAGTTCCAAAGCCTTCCAACTGAAAATTCTGGGCATTAATGTTCAAAATCAAGTATCTGGCTAAAAGCCAAAGAAAATCATTGTCAGAAATAACAAGAACTATAGTACATTTAGCACAAATTTGATGAGAGAGGCCAACTACTTTGTTTCGCCTATCCCAAAACTAGCACAAAAACAAGATGACTAGGTCTGGTGTCTTAAAAATTTAATTAAAACTTTAATTAAAGGGAAGATATGATTGAAAAAAACACCCTAATTTATCCAGGGCTTCTTGTTTTGTTTAGAATAGGTAAGATGTATACTCAGCTCTACAGAGCTTATGTAGTAGACTTTTATAAATCATTTAGAAGGTTGATTTGCTTTTGAGTAAAAAAAAAAACACTCAAAGCATTTCCCCCCCAAGTATTAGAATTACTAACGTTCTCCCAAAAACTTGGGATACATGCCTTGAGGCCTTCAAAGGAGATCTCTTCATCATACACATAAAACATTTCTGCCAGAACTGGTGGTGAAGCAAATAGATATTTATCATGGAATACTTGGAATGCAAATTCTGACCTATTGCCCTTCTGCAAGCCCATGATGACTTGGCTTTCCTCGCAGATCTTTGGGCCAAGATTTTAGTGAAGACCGAAACGTTTGATTTATTTGACATATTTTTGGTGTGATGTGCCTTTATCATTTTATTAGGTTTATTTTTTGTTGGCTTTATATATATATATTGTACTGGCTATTAGCCACCAAGCCTCATAAACGAGGCTTGTTTATGATGCACAACCATATAAAATATCAAAATAAATAAAGGTAATCTTCTCTGCACTTGTTGTTTTGGTTAGCATGCTAACACAGGTATATTTACAATGTAATTTATGGTTTACAGGTGATATAGTAATACCAAAGTATGTAAAAGATAATTAATAATGAAACAGAATAAATTAAATTTGTGCACTGCACAAAATGAATAATTGTAGGAGATATTTGATGTATGCAAAGATATTTAAGAAAATATTTAAGGAAAATCAGAGGTCCCTACTACTTGGCCATGGCCAGTTTGAAACTGGGCCACACAAGTGGTGGATGCTTGGCTTGTGTAAATGTAGTTATGAACGCACCTGCCATTCACATGGAACTATCCCCCCTCCCGGGCAGCGGTGGGTCATGCGGTAAGACACTGGGCCTGCGCACCACTGAGATTGGCAGCTCGATTCCCATGAGCGAACAAACCGTGTAGAGACAAGAAAGGAGCCTCCCCCGATTGCCTATCGGCATTCAGGTATCCCACAAGTAAAAGATAACACCCCCTGAAAAATTCCTCTCAGAAAGGCAGCCAACCACCTCGCTGATCCCTCCCACCCATGCTGGACCACCAAGCCAGAAAGGTTGGGGACTGCTGAGTTAGCTGAAGTGGAAGAATCCATGATGTTGGTATAAAAAAAAGTGCTTCTCTTTCCCATTTGTTGTAAAGTATCTGCTTGGAATTTTGTTGTGATAGAGCTATGACTATGGTTTAGATTTTACACTTCATACACTTCATACTTGATAAGGTGGTGTCACCTGAACAGCTGAGGCCATGATGGTCAGGTTTTGGGAAAACTGAAATAGGATATAATTGCAAACTGCTGAAATAAGCCTTTCAGATGATCAACTCTGCTATTATTGGTGGTTTTTTTAAAAAATTAAAAACACTATGTTTCAAGGTTGAATGCTAAATTTAGCAATGCAATCTGACTGGGGAGAGGATTTGTGGTTATAGTCACTCTGCAGTGTTACTTTAAAAATAATGCTGAAATAAAAAATAAATAAAATTAAGTCATTTTTAAAGTAAGCTCACTTACTTTACATATAAATCCAGGTGCCTGGGGAAATCTATTTTACCAGCTAGAATCTTCTGATATATTCCAAATGGGTTGTCATCAAAAAATGGGGGAAATCTGTTTTAAAAAAAGTAACAATGTCAGACGGTTGTTTCTGAATGTATGAAAGATGTAGCTAGAAACATACCACAATATAATAAACTACAATAAACTACAGTAAAATTAGGTGCAAAATTTTTTACAATGACTATGGTAAATACTTATTCTGATTTCAATGACTTCAAACATAACTATGCCTACCTTTGTGCAGAAAACAAAAACACCTGAAATGTATTATTTATTGTTTGTTTGTTTGTTTGTTTGATTTATATGCCGCCCTTCTCTGGAGACTCAGGGCGGCTTACAATGCATTAAGCAATAGCCTTCATACTTTTGTATATACCTGCTTAGTAGGGCTTTTTGGCCCCCCCCAAGCGGTTTTATTTTATACAAAGTCAGCTTATTGCCCTCACAAACCGGGTCCTCATTTTACCTACCATGAAAGGATGGAAGGCTGAGTCAACCTTGAGCCTGATGAGAATTGAACTCGCAGTAATTGTAGGCAGCTGGCAGCTAAGTGCTACTTTAACAGCAGTTTTAGTCCGCTGCGCCACCAAGGTTCTTGTATTAGTATATTTTTGGAAACTAGCTTTATAACTTCTTACCTACTGTACTGCTATGTGATATTCCAAGTTACATCAGTATCTGATGTGACAAGGTCTAGAAGTTGATTTGGCAAAATTGTTTTGATACTTGGTATATCACACAGGCAATGTGAATAGATATGAATAGTATAATATATACAAACACAAGAGCATTAGTTAAAATTTTATTTCGGATTTTTTAAAAATAAAATTATATGGGTGACTCTGTTTTCTACACAAGAGTTTTATACAAATGCTTATTTAGGAAGCATTTAAGTAATAGAAGAACACATCTCAGTCAATTTTGGTTTTGCCATCTTAAAGGAAGCTTTAAAGGAAAGGCCCAGTTAAGACTAAAGCCACAGGATCTTAGTTTAATTTAATATTCCTGTTCTCATTTTATTTATGGTTCACAAATGTAATTACTTAAAAGTTTCTGTATTTTTGTTATTGTAGCTATTATAATTAATATTTACTGAATATATTTCTGGATGGAATGAAGTAAATCCCTGAATTTAATAGCCTTTTAGTCACTTGTGAGAAAATCTCTCCCTTGATATTAAATTAAGTATAGGACACAGTTCTATATTTAAAATGCCTAACTAGTTGCCTATAAGACATATTATTGAAGGGAAAAAATCATGAATAAAGCAGTGAATATTCACAAAAATTTATAAATACTGTCACTGAAATTTATTGCAAAGAATATATTTTGCTATTCTACAGTGACATAATAAAAATTCTTTATACATATTATTTGATCATTAATTACATCTCATTTAAGCAATTGATTAAATAGCATTTTCATTGCTGCTTTTCAGAAAAGCAAAGCAGTGGGTCAGGAGCTACATAGTATATAATTATGGCACATTCTCTTTCTCCTGTTTTACATTTACAATACTTTCCCACAACAAAATATATACAATACACTTTGTACACATCACATTGTATTGCAATGATCCATGACATGTTTAACTGTAGTTTATTGAATAATCTAAATTAACTAGGATCACTTGTGAGGCCAAAATAAAAGCTATATTATATGAAGATGAGAGTAATGAACTAAATCAGGAGAATTGCACCACTGGCTTTTAGAGGGACATGTAAAGAGGCAGGATATATTCACCTATATAGCCACCTATCCTGAGAGAGGAAGAATACACCCAATCAGCTGGTCACAGCAGCCAAATTAACCAGAGGTGTCATTCAGCCGGTTTGCACTGGTTCGGGTGAACCTTTAGCGGAAATTTGGCATGGTTCACCGATCTAGTAGCGACCTCTTGGTCGCTCACCCAACCTATCCTGCCCAGCTACTACTTGCAGAATCTAGCTGCATACTTCTGCTCACTGCTGCTTCCCCTCCGTTAAAGCCCACGCCTCAGGAAAGAGAAGACGGGAAAGTTTCGAGCCCTGTAGGTGCCACAAGAGGAATGGCAAGCCTGTGGGGAGGGGGAAAGAAGAAGGGGGGGAAGAGGAAAGGGCATTTGTGATGTTGGCGCTCAGGGCTGCAATGTGGTCTCAAACCCCTTTTTGTGCTGGGGAAGTGGATGGCTCTGTCCTCTATCAGGCTTGCGCGTGTACACATACACACACAAACACACACACACACACACATGAAGGGAGGAGAAAGAGAGAGATGAGAAATAGAGAGATGGAGAAAGAGAGAATAAGAAAGTGAGGGAGAAAGATGAGGGGGGGAGAAAGAGATGAGAGAGAGAAAGAGGGAGAGAGATGAGAAACAGAGAGGGAGAAAAAGAGAGATGAGAGAGAAAGAAAGAGAGAGAGAGAGAGAGAGAGAGAGAGAGAGAGAGAGAGAGAGAGAGAGAGAGAGAGAGAGAGACCTGTTTAAGTGAACCTTGTGGTCATTAAATGAACCTTGTGGTCATTAAGTGAACCTTGTGGTCATTAAGCGAACACTGTGGTTGTTAAACAAGTCCATTTTCCCCAATGGGCATTTTTAACTGGAAACCAGAAGGAATTGTTGGAAACTGGCAAAAAACATAGAAAACCTCAGTCACATGACTGTGTGGGATGTTGTAACTGGTCATAAATGTGTGTGTGTGTGTATGGCTGTCAAAACTCCAAAAACAGGTCAAGTAGCTCTGGGGAGGTCAGTCGTAAATTTGAATACTTGCTAAGCAACCGGCCATTAAGCGAGAACCACTTGTATTTGGTTTGCCTTATTCAGAGCTGTATGGAATCTGGTTTCCTTTGACCCTTTGGGGGATTGCAAAAGGTCCGGATGGGGAAATCCTCGTAGGGGGAACTAGGATCATGACCACCTAGCCATGCTCACCAGTCACATGACCAAGCCATGCCACCCAGTCACATGACCAAGCCACGTCCACCCAGCAACTCACGCCCACAAAACCCGTAGTAAAAATTTTTGAATACCACCACTGAAATTAACCCTGGCAATCAATGAATGACAGATGTTGCAGCAGGACTGCCTTCACAACCAGGAAATCAAACGATTCAGTTTTCAGCTCTTGTGCCATGGCATTACATGGCACTACAATGTTTAGTTGCCATATGGCAAACTGTGGATTATATACATGAGAGCTAAAGATATATGCAAAATTATCAAGCTACTGACTATCATAAATTAAAATGCATGTTTATAGCAAAGAGTTTTAAACAGAACTGTATGCTTGAAGAACTGTGAAATATATACAAAAACTTTATAGTTATTAATTTTAACAATCTATATGCTTCTGTGAAATCTAATTAGATTCGAAAGGGCTTATAAATAATACTTTGAAACAAACAAAAGCATTTTAAAATTATATATAAGGAAATGCTGCAAAACACTGTAAGCCTCAAGATTTTATAAAGTTCTTACAATAATGCCTTGATTTATGTGCTTGTTGCTTTGTGATAGAATTGATTCAATTGTAAAAGATACTTTCTTCTACAAGAATAATTTTAAATTCCATTAACTGGAAACTGATAAGATAAAATTCATTTTCCTACATCTTCTTTGAAAGATAGTGTTCAAGTAATCTACTTCGTGTCATTGTCAAGAAATTGTAACAAGAAAAAACATTCCGTTCCAAATCCCAACTAAGTATCTGGACTTTTGGCCCTGGAAATATGTTGTAAGTCTTAATTCTCACAATGCTTACAATAAAGCAAGGAGATCACCTACATATTGCTCTGAGAATGCTACCACTTAAGGGATTAAATGTATGGCTAGGATTATATAACATTCAATTTCTCCTCTATGTAAGACCCATAGAAGAAAAAAAAAACCTAACTAAAATGCTGGAAACTAAAAGTAGTAGCATTCTCAACCCAACAGACAAAACAAGCTAGCAATATTTTGTTCTTTTGGTAAATATAAGTCCCCAAAACAGAATATATAAGATTATCTTAATATACTGGGTACCTTATATATTTAAGAAAAATTCTCCTGGAACTGGGCCAGTCCTAAATACATTGTTCATTTACTACGTTTATGTGTTGCAATGTGTAATATTGTTGGTTTCTTGGTATTTTCTGAGCTTCGTTCTTTTCCTGTAGATATTTCATTAACATTCATTATCTATTACTAGATAACTTCATGAATGTTTAGGAGAGTGAGGTATGCTGCATTTTTTATACAGTAGCTTGACTTGCCATTCTTGATTAGAGTGTAGTTTCTTTTATTCTGTGCTTTCAAAACTGTTTTTATATACAATATAAGATTAATATTTGGTACATTTGCATTTTCTTAATTGCAGATTTCCTTACCCAGACAACATCTCAAATATCAGAATGCCCAGGGCCCACCAGTCTACTGCTCTTCCATGACCTTTACTTTGTATGACTTCTGGGGCAAGATATTCTGGTGTTCCACACAGCGTCCATGTCCTAAAAAACAAAACAAAATAAAACACAACAAATATTATTATAAATTCTATAATGCTCCATAGTAAAACAAAAACCAACTGTTATATTTAATAAATCTGTATTTCCTACACAAAAATGCTATACTACAGAAGTAATCACACTAAAGAAATAATCAATGATTTAAAAAACCTATGACTCATACACCAAATATTGAGACACTATAAAGGGTTTATAAGGAAGTGATACTTGTTATTATTTAATCAGGGATTTCAGCATTCCATACTTATCTAATTTATTCTAGATTAAAGCTGACTTCAAAGGCTGGTGACCCCCAGGGGGAAGGCCTTCTCTGTGGGGGCACCTACCCTCTGGAATCAGCTACCCCCAGAGATAAGGAGAATCCAAGACCTCAGTGCCTTCCATCGTGCCCTTAAAACCCATTTTTTCAAGCAAGCCGGGCTGGCTTAAGAAGAAATTTTTAAATGTTTTTAAATGTTTTAAATGTTTTAATTGGTAGTGACTTTTAATTGGGCCAAATTTATATATCTTTTAATTGTTTTTAATATTTGTCCTGTATGTTTTTTAATTCTGGCTGTACACTGCCCTGAGTCCTCAGGGAGAAGGGCGGTATAGAAATTCAATAATAAGTAAATAAATAAATAAATAAATGCAAATGTATCTTCTGTATAGACTATCAGTGCAGGTTTATGATACTATTGCAACTATCGTCATACTTCCTTTTCCCTTGTTCAACTTTTATATATTCGACTGTTATTTTTTTCTCTATAAATGAACAAATGACACAATTTTAAGAGAAGAAAAATCATTTAAATAAAAAAAAAGTTGTGTTTTTTGCTTAGATTTTGCAAGTCTCCAGGCAACAGGCATCTGTCTTCACATTGTCTAGACTATTTTTTAGGGTAGTTCAGTAAGGAATATTTTGTTTAGTGGTATCTTGGTCATTCTGAAGTATGACCTGTTTTCACTTCAGCCTGATGTAGCCAATCAATTCCTACAGTGTTTTAATTATGACTTGTCCATTTAAAGATAAAGGGAACCTCCCAAGTTCAAGGCATCAACTATAAATTCCAATTTTGTATATTGTGTGCATGAAGTAATGTTTTCTCTCATTAGCAGAAGAATTTCCTCCATTAGCATATTTGTAGTGTTTTGTATCTTATCCATATGGAATTTTATTGCATTTACTATCAAGAAATCGGGAAGAACTGCAGCCATATAATTATGTTCACTTTGAACTACCCCATCTATGGAAGAAAAGCAATGCTATTTTCATTAGCCTGATTTATTCAAAAAGAATAGAATGGATACAATATTGATGGGTGGACATTTTCTAAGATTAGGGTAAACATTTCTAGCCTCAAAAAACTGGCAATTACAAGTTACAGAATATATTAATCAGTTCTACCTCTTTATTTCCTTTTCTTTTTCTTCAGAGGATCCACACAGGACTGGGAAGTACAATCTGCTGCTAATTCATATTCATCATGCATATTCTATTTAGAATATTTGTCAATAATACTTTATAAGTTTTACAGTATATTCTACCTTTCATCTCAATCTCAGCTCAATCACCATTTTATCTTCACCGGAACACTTTGAGATGGATTTGGATAACAGGGTGACCCAGATTCACCAAGGGAGTTTCAGTGGCTGATGGTGAACTTGAATCTAGGTCTGATCCATTCTCATGCAATGCCTTAACCACTATATAATTTTATACACAAACACATTTCTCATGATGTTGCCTTTGTGCTTTTTAATTCTATTCTTGTTTATCTTACTATCTCACAGAAAAAAGTCTTCCATAAGATAGTGGCAATATGAATAGATGAAAGATGAAGACAACTGTGAAGATTCATACTTTTTCTATATATTATGAACGCTTTATATGTTATGTTGGATTTGAGTCTGTGTTTCAACCAACAATCCTAAGTCTGTCTCTCTCTCTCTCTCTCTCTCTCTCTCTCTCTCTCTCTCTCTCTCTCTCTCTCTCTCACACACACACACACACACACACACACACACACACACACACACACACACACACTTTACAGAACAATCTTAGGCTTGGTCACTTAGAAGATAGTCTTTCTGTTCAATAGAGTGTATATCCAAAAAATATGCATATAATTAAAACTTTAGTATCCAAGGCGACTTGAAAAAAATCTTATTGGCAAGTGATGATTCACCCTGCAGAAAGAGAGACCAGGTTTGTCAAGTCATTCATAACCTGGAGGACATCTGCTGGATGGCATTTCATAAACATGATAATAGAAAGTCTTCTTAAACACTGTTTATTCATATCCTTTAAAAACAAACATAGATGAATGCTACAGGATGTCAACAGCATGAATCAAGCATGAAGTGCTCTTTAGTCATTTACATTCCCACTTTATTCTCTTCCACTCCTCAGGACAATTACAGAAATCTGCAATGACTATTTAGGGAGAATGAATACTTCAGATAACCTTTGTAGAACAGCCATTAACACAGTGTAAGAATGCACTGGAAGATAATTCAGAGGCTTCGACCTCATAATAAAGAATATAGTCAGAAGCTATTTGTTAGTTCTCCTGTCACACAAGAATTTCTCCTTTATATAATCTGAATTACAACAAAATCTCCAGATAAATGATACTATGGAATACTGTTAATACTCATGGAATACAATTTTGGTCATATAAAACAAACACAAAATTGGATGTAAAAAAAATTAAAAATATTTTGCTAAATGTATCCCTGTGGAAAATGTGTTAATGTTGTTAGTCTATTCTATTCTGCTACCGACAACAACGACTGGATATGAAATCCAAAATTTATTGTATGGCTGTTTCTACCTTCTAGGAACACTTTTCATATAATTTGGTATGCTGAAGCATTCATCTGTATTTCCGAGAATCCTGGAGTTGATTCTACAGTACAGAAAAAGGTTTCATATGGCTGTACATTGCTGAATGAAGACAGAGGAGAAGTTATTTCAGATAGGTTTGCCTTCTGTTAATGTGAAAGGCAAGCTATTTAACTAAAGTGGTATGTTGGTACTTACTGCTAATTGGTTTTGGGAGCTGCGATGAGTATGAAAAACAATGAATACCAAACAATTTTTTCCCATAAGGAATAATGTAGTAAGCCACAAGGCAGCCAACATTGACAAGTTCTAGCTTGTGTGTTGAGTACCAAACAAATGATGAGTACTGGGATAAAATTTTCACATCAAAGTGAGTTGAGTACCAAATTTGATAAGTTTCATAGGAGTTGTCCTAAAGGTGCTCTTTTTCAAGAGGCAACTGGACTTTCTGTTTTTTCTTTGAAGACATTTTGCTTCTCATCCAAGAAGCTTCTTCAGCTCTGACTGAATGGAAGGATTTATATTCCTTGCAGACAGCTGGTCATTTGTATTCTTTTAGAGAATCACTGAAGCCATTTGGAGGTTTATCTGTGTTCTCAGAGTCACCTGTGCAATACAAATGGGTGTGGAGCTTTCTTTGAACTGCTGAAAGGACTGTGTTGTAGACTGGATAGATGATGTATCCCTCCCCCTCTGTTGAGAGACGGTTGTTCAATCCCTCTTTCAAACCAGCGGCCCTTTCTGTCCAAAATGTGAACTTTTCTGACTTCAAAACAGTGGCCTTTGACTTTTAAATGCACTGCTGGACTGCTGAATCTTTTGTTGATGGGTTTGTTCTTCTATGTTGTGCTATGCATTTATGAAGTGGTTGTTTTGTTTCACTAATGTACAGATCTGCATATGTCTCACTGCATTGTACTGCATATGGGGAACCCAGAGTGGGATGGAGCCATTAAATGGCTTGTGTAATCTGCTGTTGCCAGGATGGGGGTGGGTGGGAAGTGATTTTATTATTTTATTACTATATTAATTTATTTGATTTTTAATTTAGTTTTATTGTTTTTAAATGTGGTTTTTATATGCTGTAATCTGCCTTGAGTCGCCATGGGCAAATAGGTGGCAATATAAATTTAATAATAAATAAATATGTCATGTTGCTTTGAGTCTGGGTGTTTTATCCTTGGGGTGGACAAGCTTCTGCCTAAGTGTATTCTTGGGTTTAAATTGTACACATATGTTCTATTGGCTGAAGATCTCCTGAGCTGTTCAGATATTCCTGCAACATATGAAATGACAGCATTGCTTCATTGTTTTCTTGTCTATTATGAAGGAGCTCATACTTTTTGGGATTTGATGAAGAACCACTTGGGATAACCACACATTCTGAGGGCTTCCTTAATGTGTTTTAATTCTTTTCCCCCACCATCTTTAGCCAGGTAGCCAGGCCTTCAGCTCAGTGGTGTAGGGTTCTGATAACTCCCATTTTGTGCTCCAGTGGGTGGTGAGAAACAAAATGTAAATATTGTGGGTTTTCTGTAAACTTCAATGTTACGGCTTCTGTCTTAATGTGTACTGCACAGTCCAGGAAGGCTAGACTATTTTCCTTAACTTCTTCCCACATGAATTTGATGTATCTGTCCACAGAATTGATACATTGGTGAATGCTTCCAATTCCTGTGTTTCCTGTGATCTTGACCCAAGTATCATCCACATACCTATACCAATGAATGAGTGGAATTCCTCTGAAGGTGTTTAGGGCTTTGTTTCCACCTCTTCCATGTAGAGATTGGCCACAATGAGGGCGCAACCATATTTTTGTCTGTAGAAATCTTCATTGTATTTAAAATTGGTAATGGTCGGGCATAGATCCAGCATGACACATATGTTGTCTGGGCTGAGGTTAGTCCTGTCACCTAAGGTGCTGTCTTGTAGAAGTTGTTTCTTCACTACCATGACAGCTTCAGTTATTGGAATGCATGTGAAGAAAAAAGTCACTTCATAGTAAACTATCGTCTCATCCAGGGCCAGTTTTAGTTTCCAAACCTTGCTGGTGAAGTACTGTGAATTACTGATATGATAGGTGGTGTTGCCAACTAGAGGAGCTAATAAGGTGGTTAGTTGTTTTGCAATGTTGTTAGTGACAGAGTTGATGTTGCTGACAATTGACAGTTGATACTGCTGGAAAAAAAAAGCAGGTTTGGGACAACCATGATCTGAATGACTGAGAATCTCCATAGACTTTCAAAGCAGTTGAGTACCAATGTACCATTATACTGCTATCTAAAGTCAATCCAAAGAATTAATATTAACCATTTCTAGATAATATTAATTGTTATTGTTTATAAATCTCTGCCCAATTGTCGCTGACAATAAAATGATTAACTACATAGTGCCAGTAAATATTGTATTATATATAACAATGTCTCAATCATCTTAATACTTCAGTGTTTCAGACACTGAACTGGATAACTTGTAAAACCTAAAACTATAGTTTACAATTTTTGTGCATGCTTCATTTGGCATACACAACTTCTTTGACTTTGCTTAAGGCTACCTACTTGACTAAAATCTTAGTTCTTTTTGCTCAGAGTAACTATTCTTTTAAAAAACATTTTTCTCTATTAAAAATAATAAATGCTTGTTCTTTGAGCTTAGTATATAACATTTATGGCATACAGGTTTCACAAACTTTTTGTTGATATACAAATGAGCCCATCATGAGCCCATCCAGATGGAAAATAATTAATTTCTTCACTTACTAATAAAAAGATGTTCTTGTCATTAGTTCGGGAAAAAAATTATAAATTTAAACTAGACAGTTTATTCTTAAAGGATTTCTCCTTGCTAATAAAAAATTAAAAGTTCATTTAAAAATGAGGTAGTCCAAGGAAGTTGAGCAGAAATCACAATTCAGCATTTAAAAAAGCATAAAATTTCTACTGCAATAACACCAGCATTTGTGACATTTTAAGAATAAAAGGAAGACCATTTTATTGCAAAATATATTTACTATTTATCATTCCTAAAAAAAATTAACAAAATGAAGACCTTGATCTATTTTTCCACAGGTTTAATACATGACTCTTTCATAAAAGACTCTTTTTAGTGAACATGAAACATCATTTCTAGCCTACATATCAGATAGAATAAATTTTGAATTCTGAACCTTTAATTATATTATATGTGCTTAGAACAGTGTTTCTCAAAAATCTCAAAGATGCTTTTTCAAGAGGCAACTGGACTTTTTTTTTTTTTTTTTGAAGACATTTCGTTTCTCATCCAAGAAGCTTCTTCAGCTCTGACTGAATGGGGGAGAATGGACCGAGTTATACTCCTTGCAGACAGCTTCATAAACGCATGGTACAACATGGGAGAACAAACCCATCAGGACTAGATTCAGCAGTCCATCTGCATTTAAAAGACGAAGTCCACTCTTCTGAAGACAACAAAGTCCACATTTTTGATTGCGAGGACTGATGGTTTGAAAGGGGTCAAAGAGGCCATCAACATCAAAATTGAACAGCCCTCTCTCGACTGAGCGGGAGGGATTACAACATCATCTATCTCCCATCTGTAACACAGCCCTTTCAACAGTTCCAAGAAGGCTCCACATCCATATACACCACTAAGGTGACCCTGATGACACAGATAAAACTCCAGGTTGCCTTAATGACTTGCTAAAAGAATGCAAATGACCAGCTGTCTACAAGGAGTATAAATCCTTCCATTCCCCACCATCCAGTCAGAGCTGAAGAAGCTTTTTGGATGAAAAGCAAAACATCTTCAAAGAAAAACCAGAAAGTCCAAGTTGCCTCTTGAAAAAGCACCTTTGGGACAACTATTATCTGGATGACTGAGAATCCTCATAGACATTTCAAAAACATGACAGCTTTAAAATATGTGGACCTCATTTCCTCAAATTCCCTAGCCAGAGCACTTAAAGTTTCCAGATTTCAAAAGCACTGCTTTAGAACAAGATACTTCCACACAAACTAAGCAATTTACTATTTAGGAACAATATTTATTGGACAAAAGTTACACTATAAAATCAACAAAATAAAGAAAAAATAAAAATAAATTTCAATAAAAAAGCAATATAATCAAAATTGAGCTACAGATTTATAATAATCTGTCTCAGATAACTTTAAGCTTCAGTCATAGAATCTTTACATGAGTAGGACAGCAAATTATACTGTTTAATGCAACGTAAGAGTATATAGCAAGTTATACTGTTTCTAAACACAATTGTCCTGAGGAAGGAAATAAATGCCTCCACAACTCTTTATCTAGCTAGAAGGTAAAACTGATACAAAAATATCAATTTTCCCACAATAACATTTTGTTCTGTACAAAAATTTGTTCACTGTGTGATCCATAGCTTTATTTCTAAAACTGTTTCACCATTATGGAAAGTAAAATGTTTATTTAGCATTCAGATGGTTTGAAATACTTGTATAAAGTATTTCTTGTATGTACTGAACTGATTTAATATTACTATTCATCCTTTTCACCATGGAATTTTCCTCAAGCACACTGAACTATGCAGATCGCTTAACTAAGCATTCTCTTTTAAGAGTGAAGATTGGGAGGAAAGAATTTTTAGTATTTAAATAAATCAATTCTTTTTTGTAAATGATAAGTGCCTGATTGTGTCAATGAAACTAAGTTAAACTTGGGTATCAAAACATGGAAGTTCAAACACAAGATAAATTTGAAGTAAATTCTCAAGCACACCGAGGTAGTAGGGGAGCAAATAATTCAAGAAATTGTGAAATAAACTTTTAGCCCATCAATTGTCACAGCATTACTGTATGATGCCCATAAAAATTAGCTTTAACATAAATTAAAAATAACTCAATGTGAATATTTTTACTCTAATTAATTGAAGAAAATAACTTTCCTTCAATTAATTACAGTAAATATATTTTTTACATTTTTCAAAAATTAATATTCAAAGGTTTCTAAACCAATTAACTGAATGACATTATGGAATGAGCTGCCTTCACGGTGTTTGGCTTTCTTTTCAATGTTTTGTTACAACACAAAAGTGTTGGTGTATGATTAAAATTCTCCAAGACCATTTAAATAAATTTAAAGTTTTGATATAATTCAGTTTATCACACTTTTATGCTAGTAAAGCTTTTTTTTTCTTTTATGCATTTGGAAAAATATTGCTTGAATATTTTTAATTATGTATGCGTGTTACAGGAAACAAAAGAGGATTACAAGTAGCTGGGTAGATGGACTGTTACAATATGATGGGTGCAGCACTGGAATACTTGAAGGATCAGGTTAAGTAATGATACTGACTTGGCAGCATATAATCAATTAATTAATGTGTGTTAGGAATCTTAGGAAGGTTAAATGCTGTCAGTGTGATGAAAAAAATCATTTTCTCTACCCATTTTCCCATTTTTCCCTAGAAAAAAGTCAAAGTTAACATCAAATAACTTACCTATCAACAAGCTTTTTAGCAAAGCCAAAGTCTGTGAGTTTGATATGCCCCTCTTTGTCTAATAAAATATTTTCTGGTTTTAAGTCTCTGTAAACAATTTCTTTTGAATGGAGGTATTCTATTGCACAAATTATCTCTGCAGAGTAAAATAGTCCAGTGCTGTTATTAAAACGTCCCATATTGCGTAGATAGCTAAAAAGTTCACCTCCAGGTACATATTCCATCAACATATATAGAAATCGATCATCGTGATTAGTCCAATACCTGTAATAATAAAAGCACATTCAGTTGTTTAGAACTTTTTAAAAATTCAGCATATTAGTAAAACGACAAAAATTATTTAAAAACCTGAAACTGCCCCCAATAAAGCCACTGGGTTTACTCATAATATGACTAAATGTTGACAGAAACATTCCAGCTTGATCTTGAAAAGGAGTCCCACACACTTATAGGCAAAGGAGCAAAGAAGTCTGAAGCCAAGTAGAGAAACATAATCACTGCAATTTTTAAAGATTAATTTACAAAGATAGATGCTTAATTCACCGAGTCTCTGTGATTCTGCATCAAGGTTGAAGTACAATTACCAGAGAACAAACAAGAAGAGTTAAATGAAATACAAAGTTGCTGAGTGGGTCAAAACCTGCTGTAAATGATACAGTTCCCAAGCTGAGGACATAGATGAACTAAAATACATGAATTTCTCCACATGTATTAAAATTTAATATACATTTCCTGTATGAAATTTTCTGTATATTTATAGTGTTGCTTAAAAATTGTGAACCATTTGAATGTTGAATATTGCTGCATAAATTTGACCTAAAATATGATCTGTTCTCCACACAAATCGTAAGACTAGATAAAGACAACCCAGTTAAACAAATGAGTAAAAATATGCTTTACAAACTTTTAAATATATGAAGCTCTGAATAAGAGTTTCAGCTAAAGCGGGGAAAAAACCCTGAAGTTCAGTTTCACAAGATATAGTAAAAAATAATCATAAGGATCAGTGTCCAACTCTTCCATTGAGGACAGATCCATCACATTAAAATGTTATTTACTCTCTAAAGCAGTGGTTCTCAACCTTCCTAATGCCGCGACCCTTTAATACAATTCCTCATGTTGTGGTGACCCCCAACCAGGGGTTGGTTCTAAATTTTTTTACTACCGGTTCTGTGGGCGTGGCTTATTTTATGGGCGTGGCTTGGAGGTCATGTGACTGGGTGGGCATGGCTAGCTGCTCATGTGACCGGGTGGCCATGGCTATGTGTATAGGGACTACTCAGAGGGCTGAAAAAAGTCATTTCTGACAGGTCCTCGCACTTTTGACTGGTCCTCACACTTATGACCATCCTCACATTTATGCCCGGCAGCATTCTTAACAATCATGTCACTCATTTCACAACTGCTTCTTTTCACCATGGTGATAAGATAGGGCAAAAAACGTAAAATGTGAGGATAATCGTAAATTCGAGATCTGGTCAAAAGTGCGAGGACCAGTCAAAAATAACTTTTTCAGCCCTCTGAGTAGTCCATGTGCACAAAAGGACTACCCAGAGGGCTGAAAAAAGTGATTTCTGACAGGTCCTCGCACTTTTGACCGGTCTTTGCACTTATGACTGGTCATCATTTATGCCCATTGTAGCATTCTTAACAACCATGTCACTCATTTCACAACTGCTTCTCTTCACCATGGTGACAAAATAGGACAAAAACGTAAAATGTGAGGACAGTCGTAAGTTTGAGGACTGGTCAAAAGTGCGAGGACCAACCAAAATAACTTTTTCAGCCCTCTGAGTAGTCCATATGCATAAAAGGATAAAGCAATAGAGAGGGATGAAGGAAGGGAAGGGAAATTAGAGTAGGAGTGAGGTAAGAGAGGGAGGAAGAGAGGAGAAGGAGAAAGGAAGAGGAAGTAGGGAGGAGAAGAAGAGGGGGAGGAAGAGAAAGTAAGAAGGAAAGAAAAGAGAGAACTGGTAAGTTTGAGGAGAAAGATTGCTGTACAATAAAAAAGATGAAAGGGAAGAAAGCCAACCCCAAACAAATATAAAGATATTAAGATAAAGAATGAATTGTTAAACTTTAAAGAATAAAAGAGAACAAATATGAATAAATAACAATAATTAGAAACACACATACAAACATACAATGTATTTTCTTTAAACAGAGTATTTGGCCGGTTCACAAATTTAAACAGTGTTTAGTCATTTCAATTAAATTTACAATTTCTATATTTCCTTTTTGCCATATTTATTCCTCATTTTTTTGGAAAAAACCAGTATTACCCTTCATCCTCATCTCTAATCTTAATCAAATTCAATTTTTCCCTTCTATTCTATATTATACCCCTTCCCATTGTCATCTATTTTTATATCCATCCTCACATTGGTTAATTATGTAATATTACAGTTGTTTAATATAAATTCAACATTTTAATATAAATCAATTACTTATATAACTACCTTTTTTGTATATTAATCAATATGAACATGAATATTCCAATTATTTCCATGCAATCCAATTTCTTACAAATCAATTAATTACAATTACAATTAAATTAATTTATTATTAATTATAATAATAAACCAAATAATTTCCCCCATATATTCCTCCAAACCACAACTTAACCATTTCTGCTTTCAACACAATATACAATTAATAGTATCTCAATTATTACAATTCCCTAGTTAAATAGAGCTTTTTTTCTTTTGTGTTTTAAAATCTTGAACTCTCCTCTTTTGCCCTTAATTTCCCATTGTTTGCACCTACCTTTTTTGGTGAGGAAAAAGAAAAGAAATCTGCCTGCCTAATTTTCCAACGTTGCAGCAACAGCAAAGCCAACAGCCTGCTTTACTTTCAGTTTTGTTTTTCAGCATAGCTAGGGGGAAAAAAATCTGCTCCAGCAAGCAGCAGAGCCCTGAGCAAAACAGAGAGCAAATCAGCTGAGAGTCGGGAGCCGATCTAATCAAGGGCTAATTAGCCTATGCTGAAGCTCCGCGGGCCAATAAAATTACAAAAAAACACCGAACCATTTGTTAAATTGCTGGCTCGCCCCTCCCCTCACCCGCCACTATTTATTGGCAATAAATAGTGGTGCAGAGGGACAGGGCAAGGGGCGGGGGCGGAACCGGCAGAATCCCACCACTGGCTCTAGGGCAACCCTTTGAAGCCCCGCGGCAAGAATTTAAACAGTTTTTTTTCCTCTAGCCATCAGCTGGGACTCAGGAGGCAGCAATAGATTGGGAGTGGGCGGGGTAAGCGAACAGCCGGTGATCCAACAGAGCAGAGAGTGAGTGAAGACGTGGGGAGGGGCGAGAGAGGGCTTTGGCGACCCCTGTGAAATGGCCGTTCAACCCCCAAAGGGGTCGCGACCCCCAGGTTGAGAACCACTGCTCTAAAGAATCTTAGCAGGAATGTAACACCATATATTCTACTAGGAAAGCAAGCTATCCATACAAGAATGCTACCAAGTTCAAACCCATTGGTCATGATTTCTATATCCAATTTTTTTATATTTGTCATGTTTTATAAATTTGTTATGTTTTAAATTTTTGCTTCTGATTTTTTGTATTATTTTTGCTTTTATTTTTGATGCAGGATTTCCCAATTCCACTTATACAACTGGAACAATTAAAAATGAAATGTTCTAGCAAGAAAATAAAGTACATTCTCTACTATGAAAAGTTGTTCAGAATATTTTATACCATTTTGACATTTAGTTTGGCTAAATTTATCTACCATAGATGTTGTTTATACAAAGCTGTCCTTCCTTGGGTAGATCCCATTGTATATTTATTAAAGAACAAAAACAACAACAACAAGAGGACATTTGCAGCTGTTTTAGCTATCATTTCCTTTTGTTTCCATCTTTAAAATATTACCTATTTCAGAAAATGTTCAAGACAAAAAAAAAAAGGTTTGTTTTGCCTAAAGATATGGACAAACAATAGACAGGAGTAGTAGTTCCATAGGTTTTAGAAATGTTTAGATCCAAGTTTCAGCATTGGATCAACACAGTTAATCACCATAGATGACAAGATCCAAATGGCCACAGCTTGCCAGATCCTGCATTAGCATAAAACTACTCCTGGAAATAGTCCAATAAATTTATTATCCCTGTGTACTTCTATTTCTTCTCTTTACTCACTTTTTAACAATGAATTAATACTTGAATAATTTGGGGAAAAAATGGTTGAGGAGGAAATATAACATGTACAAAAATTAATTCTGCCATCCGTTTTACATGTTTATTTCTCAGAGTAGGCAAGAAATGCATTTTTAACTGTGCTTGCTATCCTTTGTTCTCTTTGTCAGTTTCATCTTATCAGGATATAATCTTGTTATGTTGAAATTACTTTTGCAATATATACTTATAAGTCATCTGTTTATAGTTTAACTTGTGAAATTCTGACATTTCCGGTAGTATGCATTACTCCACCCATTACCACAAGATATTTTTAAAAAAGTAATGAGCCATATACAGAAACAGATTTCCTGTAGTTTCAGACAGAGGGAATTGTATTTTGTGCACTGTCAACACAATGCATTCATCAGCAAATACTTTATTAAAACACTGAATGTGTAACTATTTTCCCCTGAAGCTTTTTTTTTTTTTTTTTTGCTTTAATTTATATGCCGCCCTTCTCCGGCGACTCAGGGCAGCTTACAATGCGTTAAGCAATAGCCTTCATACTTTTGTATATTTATACAAAGTCAGCTTATTGCCCCCAAAATCTGGGTCCTCATTTAAGCTTAAAAGAATCTCTAAATTATTTTCTTCTAATGAAGAAAAGTACCAAAACTGCTATGTGTAAGAGTGCAAGAATGTGAAAACACATTCAAAATGGGAGTAATTTTACTTACTGAAAACATGAACTTTCATTCATGTACTCTTTTTTATCTAAATTAAGGAATTTATCTAAAACTTATCTAAAAAAAGGAATAACTGTACTGTCCACTGTCACAAAAGTCACTAGAAAGAAATCATTCTTGGTTTCCATCCAAAAATTATACAAGTAGAATTATCCTGTGGACATTCTTCTTGTAAAAAAGGGAAAAGTGGTATTTACAGATTCTACTTTTGTTCTACAGAACCCATTTAACGACTTGAGATGTTTACAGAATTTTAAAAAATGTTTCAGAGCTAAAACTGGAGACACAGAAAACCTCCTTCTCTCTTCAGGCAGGAAAACTTTTGAGCCTCTCCTAGGAATAATATCAAGATTTATGCCATAATAAAATTATGTCAAAAAGCAAGATGAATGCATAAAAAAGGAAGATATTTTTCAGAAACATACCATATAAATGCATATGTATATGTATTCATACACACACCTATTTATCCATGAAAAATGCTTAAATATATACATTATACACAACTATAACAATTACTATATTCTGAAGGATAGTCAATCTATCCTGAGCAATGCTGTAAAAATCACATATCACATCTTTTTGGAAAAGCAAACATAGACAAAGTGTTTATAATGTATATATTTCATTTTTCTTATGCAATAGGCTTCCTTGCTACTGTTAAATATGGAAATAAAAATTTGAAAATTTGTCTCCCAAAGATTTTGACTGCTACAACTGATTGTGATTGAACTAAGAAGATGAAGCTTACAATCTGATCAGAAATGGATGATTCACTTCTTTCAAAACAGATTTCTCATTGTGTACATGTTGTTCTTGTTTTAGCCGAATAACATCTGGAATGCTCATTACTTTCAATGCGAAGTAGCATTTAGCAGCCTTCTCTCTCACCAGGTGAACCCGCCCAAAAGTGCCTGTCCCTGAAAATCAGAAAGAAAAAAAAAAGTCAATGAGATATATAAATATATAAATAAAAATTGGTTACACTTCATAATGAAACATATATACTGTAAGAAGAAAAGATCAACCTAAATCAGCTGATAAGTGTCAAACATTTTTGTATTGCTTGAGCTTCACTGACACAAAGTTCAGTGTTTAAAAAGAAAGAAGATAAACAGGTAGCCACATCAGCTCTGCTGGCTGATTCACTTCTACTTAAATCATGGTAAAAGGCTATTTAAGGCTCTTTTCTCTAATGTGACTATTAACAAGGGCTGGAACTCTCTGAAGCAGCCCTTCTACCTTATGAACTATCACCTGACACTCTCAAGATATTTAAGACTATAATGGCCATTGCCTTCAAAAAGCATGATCATTCTGTTTTATTGTTTAGGTTTGATCATAGGAATATTCGTCATTTGGATAGTTCTGCCAAATCACTCTTATTGTTAGCAATAAAACTTCCTGTGTTAATATAACTGCCGAAGTAATCTTCGTAGGGACTATTTGCACAATGGTAAATAAGTACTGTACACAATGTGTTCTAGTCATGTATTTTAGAAATGTTTTCCTTTGTTTGATGTTATTTAAAGTCACTTCAATCACACAATATTTGTTCTGTTTTTGTGAATATACAGTTTAAGATGATGTAGTAACTCAGAATAGATTCATCAGATCAGTTAGTGGCTAGCACCAATGAATGATATTAATGAAAATACTGAAACAAACTCAGAACTTCCCTGAATTCAGGAAATAAGAGGAAAAAAATCTACCTAGACCTCATTTGCATCAATACCAATCACTATAGCCGTTCATACTTTTCTTCGCATCTATATAACAAATATAATTTGTATTTTATTTTTTGAATTTGCTGCTTTTCTTTTTCTGAGGATCTAAAGTTCACCCAACATCATCATTTTTGGCTATCTCTTTCCTTTCACTCTTTCTTCATATATTTTATTATGATTTGATCTTCATTCATGCTCAAAACACCTCAATGGTCATTCACTTTGTATGCAATCCACATAGAACACTCATTTCACTGATTTATGTTTTAGTACCCACATTACTTATGTATTCCATTCCCATTGCATTCAGTCTATTTCCACCCTTTTCCTGTTTCCAACTATGGTTTTATTACCATGTAGCAAAGGATCAGTCTTGTACGTTCATTGCTTATAGCAGACTATCCCATCTACTATATTCCAACATCTGCACACTTTAAATGTATGCATCTTTTTTAGCATTTTAGTATTTAGTATGGGACAGAAATTCATATATTTATTTGATTATTGGGTAGGGGAGATGGTGTTTTTATTTATGTTTAAATTGTAATGGTTGGATACAAGAACATAGCATTTACAGTAAAACGCTTGACTTTTCAGTCACATGAGATTAGTACACAAACTCACATCTAATATCCTGTAATGTAAAAAAAAAGTATTAATCATGTAAGAAAACATCACATATCTTTGTCTCTTATTCCTTGCTCAATGTTCAACTATTTGCTAAAATATCCATTTATCTGCATACCTTTTACTTCCATCGTATTCAATTCTTACATTTAGCAACCCCCAACTTCATATTAAAATATCTGTTAGCTTATCTACCTTAAATACACATTTTTAAAATCACAAATATATATACATATACATATATATATATATATATATATATACACTTTTTTACAAATTTGAAAGAAAGTTATTACAAATACAACACTATAGCAGCTAAAAAATATAAAAGAGCTACAGCACTTTAACAGCTGAGAAATATGAAACTAAGAAACACAATACAAAAAAAGTATCTGAATTCGGCTACTAGAAGCATTTAAAAAGCAAAGGTCATTGATGAAAGACAGGTCAAACATACTTTTAGCTTTCCTGTGTAAAACCCAAAGTTTATTTATACATAAATATATAATATTTATCTTTTGGCTTCACTATTTGGAAGTATCTTAGGCAAAACTATTCAAGTATGACATTCCTGCTTTGCAAAAGGGAAAGTCAATTTTTCTCACTGATTGCCTGTAGCACCATATGCAGCATGACAATAAATCCTTTTTTAGACTTTTATCTAAAAGTCAGTTTTGCTATCTTCAGGGTAGTATCAGATTATGCTTGGGATAATATGGACACACAAGAAGACCTTCACATGTGCATGTACAAGTAGTCCTCGACTTATAACAGTTCGTTTAGTGACTGTTCAAAGTTATAATGTCACTATAAAAAGTGACTTATGATAGTTTTCAATACTTATAACCCATGCAGCATCCCCATGATCATATAATCAAAATTCATACGCTTGGCCAATGGTTCATATTTATAACAATTGCTGTGTACTAAGATCATGTGATCCTCTTTTGTGAGTTTCTAACAAGCAAAGTCAATAGGGAAGCCAGATTCACTTAACAACTGTGTTAGTAACTTAAGTACTGCTACAATTCACTTAACAACTATGGCAAGAAAGATCGTAAAACGGGGCAGAACTCACTTAACAAATGTCTCACTTAACAACAGAAATGCTGGGTTCAATTGTGGTCATAAGTCGAGGGCTACCTGTAGTTATATGTGTGGAAGAGGAAAAAACAGAATTATTGCAATTCTGTGATTTGTGGAATTGTGAATATTTATTGTAAATATTCAGTTTCATCTTAACCATGTTTTGATTACAATTTAAAAGAGATTCTCAGGCTTTTTAAAGGATATAAAATACTCATTTATTTACAGTGATACAATGTAAAATTATAATATCTATGATAAGATCCTTGTTTACTCATTTACTCATTTCTCAGATTTTATATTTTCTTCAAAATTCTAATATGGATCTTGATCTGATTTAGCAAGGACAGTATTAAGTTCTAAATAAAAGCCAACACTATGTTAATGTTGTTAGGCACGACATAAAATATGTGTCTAAGCCAATAGTGACAAAACCAACCATCCAAAAAACAAAACAAAACAATATAACACATTTTTGTTTCTGTGTGGCACTATTTTTTTCCTGAGGATTACAATTAAGCTAATTGTGTATAAACTTATTTTCCTCTAAAGAAAATACATCAAAGAGTTTATTAAATATGCCAAAGGCAAAGTTGCTATTATGATGACAATAGATGCAGACAAGAGTGGCCACTCATACACCTTTAGAAGCTGAGATTTTAATTGTATGCTGTTGAATGCCTCAAGTATTTGCATTTTTGCAATCATAGCAAATTCTGAGTATACATCAAACATACCGTAGCAGTTTCAGGTAAATGGATAATGTTGATGTGCACAATAGATTGTTAACATCGAAAGTTTCATTCTATATAAAAACTTTTTCCACAACTCAATATTACAGCTACTCAGCCAGGGCACTAGTTTGTTATTTTGCAGAAAGTTAAAATGAAGATTTTAGATATCTGTAAGATATCTTTAAGTTAACAAGCACCATTAACAAACCATACTGTCCACTTGCTTTAAACTTTGATAGCTTCACTTACCATAAAAATATTTACACTTTCTATTTTGGAAATTTAAAAAAAAAGATTTTTCAAGTCATAAAATAGGTTACTGTTAAAAACATTTATTTCAAATTATATTTATAGGTATTGTGGCTGAAGATTTTTTAAAAATTGAAGTACCGTATTTTCCGGTGTATCTGACTGGGCGTATAAGACAACCCCCGACTTTTCCTGTTAAAATATAGGGTTTGGGCTATACTCGCCGTATAAGACTACCCTCTTCCAACGCACACCAAATAAAAATTAAAAAACATCAACTGGCTCACCCACAATGTAAAAGCAGCTGTGCTAGACCCAAAATGGCCCCTGCAACAAGCAGGAACCTCACACAGCCACAAAAAGCCCAAAAACTCAACTTTCACACTTTTCACACACAAAATTCCACATACAGCTTTGTGAGATTTTGTGTGTTTGTGTAGTTAGAATGAAACACTACAGAAACACACTAAATCTCAGAAAGCTGCACAAATATTTTATTTTATTTTTATATGAAAGCTAAATTTAAAACTTCCTAAACTTTAAATGGCTAGGTCTAAAAAAGAACAACTAAAAAAAAACCCCAATTAACTCTTTTTTTTAAAGCTCCCAAAGGGGGAAAAAACTTACCCAATAGAACAGGGGTCTCCAACCTTGGCAACTTTAAGACTTGTAGACTTCAACTCCCAGAATTCTTCAGCCAGCTTTGCTTTGCTGGCTGAGGAATTCTGGGAGTTGAAGTCCACAACTCCCTGCCTGCTTGATTGCAGGCAGGGAGTTGCTTGCTGATGCAATGGATTCAGGCAAGCGAAGCAAGGCAAGCGTTGCGACTAGCAGCTAAGGTAAGCAAGATGGAGGGGAGAAACTTTTTTTCTTTTACATGGCTCTGGCGATCCAAGTTGAGTTGCCTGATTAGCAGGCAACTCAGCTGAGATCGTCAGAGCTTGGATCGCTAGAGCCATTCCTTTTACATGACTCTGGCGATCCCAGATGAGTTGCCTGATTAGCAGGCAACTCAGCTGGGATCGTCAGAGCTTGGATCGCCAGAGCCATTTAAGGCTCGTCAGAGCCTTTCGGGCTGGTCTGCCTGGTTACAGGAGAACGACACCTGGCGTATAAGACAACCCCCGGCTTTTGAGAAGGTTTTCATGTGTTAAAAAGTCGTCTTATACGCCGGAAAATATGGTATATTCTGCTATTCACGTGTGTATGTGTGTGTAAAAAATGTGTTTCCAAGTAGACTGAAATGAAGCACCACATCCAACATACCGTTTTTTTAAAAAATCTATTTTTATTTGAACTGGATGTTTCCCTACTAAGCTTTACAAAGCATCCAAGAGGCATTTCACAAAACATGTTACTGCAAGTGAAGCACCTGTCATCAAAATATTAAAAACTGCTGTATCTTTTGGAGGACTCCTTAAACTTGTTCAAAAGCTGTCTTCCAATGACTAAATGTATAAACCTACTACAGCTTGATAGGAGCATTTCAAATAATAA